ATAATAGAAGGAACAACACACAGTTTCACAGACAAACAACAGCTCAGGAACTTCATAGACTCAAAACCATGGTTACAAGAACAACTAAATGGGCTACTTTAAGGCAAGAAAGCCCCCTCAAATACACCAAATTTTAACAGAACAATGGGACAAAATCCCATAACAATAATCTCTCTCAATGTCAATGGGCTAAATGCACCAATTAAAAGACATAGAGTGGCAGGATGGATTAGAAAATTGAACCCAACATTCTGCTGCCTGCAAGAAACGCATCTCAATAGTCAAAGCAAACACAGACTCAGAGTCAAAGGCTGGAAAACAATTCTACAGGCAAACAGCTCCCATAAAAAAGCTGGGGTAGCCATCCTTATATCAGACCACATCGATTTCAGAGTGAGGAAGGTCATAAGAGACAGTGAAGGCCATTTCTTAGTGATCAAAGGATCTGTACAACAGGAAGAACTTACAATAATAAATGTATATGCACCTAATGAGAGACCAGCAAAGTACTTAAAACAACTACTCATAGATTTGGAAAAAGACATCAATAGCAACACAATACTAGTGGGAGACTTCAACACCTCTTTGTCACCTCTAGATAGATCAATCAGACTCAAACTTAGCAAGGACATACTTAATCTGAGGGAAACAATGGAATGCTCATCTAATCTTTGATAAAGGTGCAAGTAATGTGAAGTGGAGTAAGGAAAGCCTCTTTAACAAATTGTGCTGGCATCACTGGACGGCTACATGCAAAAAAATGGGCTCAGAACTCTGCCTAACACCATGTACAAAAATAAGATCAAAATGGATTAAAGACCTCAACATCAGACCAGACACCATAAGGTACATTGAAGACAAAGTTGGCAAAACCCTCCATGACATTGAGGCTAATGGTACTTTCAAAGATGCCACGCCACTGGCCGAGCAAGTAAAAACAGAGATAGATAAATGGGACTATCTTAAACTAAGAAGCTTCTGCACCTCCAAAGAAACAGTGACCAAAATACAAAGACAGTCTACAGAATGGGAAAGGATATTCGCCGAATACACATCTGACAAGGGGTTGATATCCAGGATATACAAAATACTGGTTAAACTCCACAAGAAGAAAACATCCAACCCCATCCAAAAATGGGGCAATGAAATGAACAGAAACTTTCTCAAAGAAGAAATCCGAATGGCAAAAAAGCACATGAGAAAATGCTCTACATCATTAATCATCAGGGAGATGCAGATCAAAACCACAATGAGATACCATCTCACACCTCAGAGACTGGCCCACATTCAAAAGAACAAAAGCAACCGATGCTGGCGTGGATGTGGCGAGAAAGGGACACTCCTTCACTGTTGGTGGGAATGTCCATTGGTTCAGCCCTTCTGGAAAACAGTATGGACGATTCTCAAAAAATTAGAAATTGAGCTCCCATTTGAGCCAGCAATACCACTCCTAGGAATATATCCCAGAGAGGCAAAAATGTATAGTCGAAGTGACATCTGCACTTGTTTGTTCATTGCAGCACTCTTTACAATAGCCAGAAACTGGAAGAAACCTGAATGCCCAAGAACAGATGACTGGTTAAAGAAACTTTGGTACATCTACACAATGGAGTACTATGTAGCTCTTAGAAAAGATGAAGTCATGAAATTTACATACAAGTGGTACAATATGGAAAGTATCATGCTAAGCGAAATGTGTCAGAAAGAGAGTGATAGACATAGAAGGATTGCATTCATCTGGGGGATATAAAGTAACAAAGTATGAGATTAATACCCAAGAATAGCTGAGATCAGCACCAGGAGGATTACTCCATAACGTAGAGGCCAGCCGGGTATCCTAGAGGAAAGGGCAGTTCAGATAGAGAAGGGAGCACCAAATAAAGGATGTTTGGAGGATCCTCCCAGGAGGGGAGATGCATGTCGAAAGTAGACTATGGACTGAACATGTTTGCCACTCAATGCCTCTTTTGCAGACCACAACACCCAAAAGGAGAGAGAGAACACAGGGGATTGCCCTGCCACAGAGACAGGGGGGAGGGGGGGATGGGGGTAGGAGGGATATTATCCATGGTGGTGGAAAATGGGCACTGGTGGAGGGATGGTTATCTGATCATTGTATAATTGAATCCAAAGCACAAAAAATTGTAAATCTACAACTTTAAAAAAAATAAAATAAAGGGGGAAAAAAAAAAAAAAAAAAAAAAATATAATTTAGTAATGAAAGATGAATTCACACACTAGAAATGTTATAAACTGATGAAAAAAACATAAAAAATTTTAAAATTTCACAACAACTTTTATGCCAGATACAGTAACAACAAAGTCTCCAATGGAGACGTTACTGGGCCCGCTCGAGCAAATCAATGATCAACGGGAGGGCCTTTACCTTTACCTTTTACAACAACTTTTAAGTCAGGTATCACTACACCCATTTTAGAGAAAATTTAAAATAGTCACCAACTTTTCAAACTGGTTTTATTTCACTATACATATATACATATATATGTATGTATATGGGCTGGAGCTACAGCACAGTGGGTAGGGCACTTGCCTTGCACATGGCCAACAGGGCCAACCCAGGTTCGATTCCTCTGCACCTCTCCGAGAGCCCAGCAAACTACCGAGAGTATCTCGCCCACATGGCAAAGCCTCTGGCAAGCTCCCCATGACATATTCGAGATGCCAAACACAGTAACAAGTGTCACAATGGAGACGTTACTGGACCCGCTCAAGCAAATCGATGAACAACTATTGATGACAGTGACAGTGATATATGTGTACATATATACGTATATATTTTTTTTAAACCACTATATAGTGCTATAAAAAGAAGCACCAGGGGTCTGGAGCAATAGTACAGCAAGTAGGCTGTTTGCTACCTACAAGTAGGTTCGATCCCCGGCATCCCATATGGTTCCCCAAGCACTGCCGGGAGTAATTCCTGAGTGCAAAGCCAGGAGTAACCCCTGAGCATCGCTGGGTGTGACACAAAAAGAAAAAAAAAAGAAAAGACATCAATGCTTCAAGAACACCATATTAAATCGTATAAATTTAAACCACACCATTTACATACTAAAATAATGTATCTAATGAATGATAATCATTATGTCACTGTCATCCCGCTGTTCATAGATTTACTCAAATGGGTTCCAGTGACGTCTCCATTCATTCCAGCCCTGAGATTTTAGCAGCCTCTCCTTACTCGTCTTTCCCAACTCTGCTGTATTGGAGGCTCTTTCAGGGTCAGGGGAACGAGACCCCTGACTGTTTTTGGCATATCAAATGCATATGCCATTGCATAACCATGAGATTGCTCAAGAACGCTATTTCCATGTCTGAGTTATTAAATCTACAAGGATTATCATTATTGTTATCGATATCATATCAATAATCCTCATAAATTTAATAACTCAGATATGGAAATAGTATTCTTGAGCAATTTCACGGTTATGCAAAGACCAAGGGCAACTACCAATCCTAGATGCTACGGGTTTCAGCACACTTCAACTCTATTTATGTACCACCATCAATATGTTGTGTGGATATTTCAAAGGTATATTCTTATGGTGGCTAAAGACTGTGTAATAGGAGATATTATCCAACCATAAAAAAAGAAAGAAATTATGCATACTGAAGTAAGTCAGATAAAGATAAATACTACATAGCACTATACAATCTTACCTAGAATTAGAGTCTAATACAAAGAGACTGCTAGTTGCCAGAAACGAGAGCAGAATTGAAGGTGGGTCAAACAGAAGGTAAAACAGTCACAAACTTTCACTTATACAGCACACACGTCAACTGGGATGAAAAGTACAGCATGGTGACTGCCGCTGATTAAAGTGTATCTGACAGCTGCTAAGAGACTAGATCTTACGTTCTCACTAAAAGGAAAAAGGTCTCATTGTATAGTGATTAGTTAACTTCATGACCATTAGCTAAACTTGTGGAAAATTTTAATTGTGTGGTGATAGGTGGTAAGGAAACTTACGGTGGAAATCATCTTGGAATCTATACATATGTCAAAACGTCACTTTACATAGTTCAATATGTAAGTTATCTGCTCTTTCTTAAGAAGCAAGATAGTATTAGGGTTTAAGAAGAAAGACAAGGGAAGGCAGTTTCAAATCCAGGATCTCGCTGCTATTAATGACCGACCTGGAAACGTGGATCTCTGTGCCAGTTTCACTTCTGTAAAAGATGTGGACGATAGACTAACGAGTAAACCTCAGAAGAGCTGCAAAAATTCATGAGTGCACTAGTCTACCAGGTTAAAACTCTAGGGTATCCTCAGGAGGCGGCAGGAGGACCGAGTCCCTGCCCTGCTAAAGCTCTAGCAGCCACACCCACAACCGACAGCCACCTCCAGGCCAAGGAAACAACTCCACTGCTTCCCCACTGATCTGCAAAGATACCAGACTGACAAAAATCCCAGGGACACTGGCATTCAGGCTCAAAGTTTGGGGGTCATCTTGGAGTGGGGGCAGGCACCATGGAACTCACGGCTCAGTTCTACAAAACCTGGAATTTCTGAAGCGTGGAGTCACATTTGCAGCTGTGCAACTCCTCTAAATTCCACAATACTGACATTCCAGTAAAAGCATGACAAATTACTTGGGGAAACTAACATAGAAGCCAACTGAGTTCAATAAACATGAATACAAATGACTCAACTAACTATGAGCAGCTTAATAAATCCTCAGACAAGGGCTGAATGACCCCTGGCGAGATAGGACAATTTTCACAAATTTTCTTTCACCTAAGTATGTTCTTATATTCTACTAGCCATAAAAAATATGTAAGAATCCAAAAAAAAATTACTATAAACCTAACACAAAAATTTACCTTTATGGTGTTAAAACCAGTGTATTGTAAGTGACAAGTAGAGTGACAAATATTTGAACAATTTCTGCCAGAGTAATTCTTACTACTGTACTTGAAAACCCTGGGAAATGGAAGGAGAAATGAAGTTTGTCTAGAATGACAAAAAAAAAACTTACCTTTATCTTAGTGTGCACATCAAAGATATCTGGGATACTACCAAAAATAGTCTTTATTTCCTCCGGTGCAAGGATAGGTCCACCACGTTGTCCTTCTTCTTCCAAAGGTATCTGAAATAACTACAAGGGTCAAAAAAGACTAGTTTGAGTAGACTGCAGAAAAATAAAACAATAAAGCTAAAATACGCAGTGATAAAGGAGAGGTGAGAAACCAATAGAAAATAAAAACTTATTTTATTTATTTGTTTTGTTTTTGTTTTTTGGGGGTCACACCTGGCATTGCACAGGAGTTACTCCTGGCTCATGCACTCAGGAATCACTCCTGGTGGAGCTCGGGGGACCATATGGGATGCTGGGAATCAAACCCGGGTTGGCCACATGCAAAGCAAATGCCCTACCCACTGTGCTATTGCTCCAGCCCCTAAAAACTCCTTTTAAATGCTTCTTTCTAATTAGAGTGAGATTTTTCTTTTAACATTGTTTATTTTATTCTACTTGTGCTTTTATATATGTGCATATAAATATATATTTGTAATAAAATACTTATTCTACAGTTCTAAAACCATTAAACTAATTAGAATGATATAAGAATAATTTCTATTTTTAGCAGAAATCCAAAACCAACATTTAATTCTTGAACCCAGCTGTAGAAAGCAAATCACTTCACAATGCTTTTTCAGCATGTCTGATTGGAGGGGGGGGGGAGGTAAACTCTAAATAATAGTGGTGAATCTTTTATTGAAACAATGAATCTAATCAAAGCAGATAGAGTGTTAACTAGAATTCATCTGCCCCACAGGGACTGGGAGGGGTGGGGGGTGGGGTTTTATTGGGGTTCTTCATGGTAAAAAAATAAGTTTTGGTAAAGGGAAATGTGTTTGATATTTGCATGACTGAGACCTAAACCTGAAAGCTTTGTAACCTTTCCCACGGTGATTCAATAAATAAATAAATAAATAAATAAAAGAATAATTTCTATTTTTTAAGTTACTAAAGAAGAAAGCAATTAGTTATTTCCAAGCACACACTTAATACAAGTGACTAAATATTTTGAAATGTTAGTGACGAAAACCGGTTTATTTAAGACTAGATTTGAAGCTAAAAGAGACCTACTTAATATCCAAGTTGTTTATATCAATCTCAAAAAAAGGGGGGAAATCTCCTAGAACTATTGGGTTTAGCCAAGAGGACGTAGAGCACCCACCTACACGGACACACTAAATAAATCACCTAATAAGTTACAGGTGGAAACTAATACTAGAAAGCAGTAGTTATAATTTTAAAAAATTAATATATTTGTTTGGGGCAACAGCTTAAACAGCTAAAGCATATGACTTACATGCAGAGGCCCCGAACTCACTCAATCCTAGAATCCCATGGTGCCCCCAAACTCCAGCAGGTCTAGCACTGGTGGCCCACGGCTCTCCTAGGCCCCAGATCATGACATTGCCAGGTAATTGAGCCTCCAGGTCTCGAGAGCCAAGTCGAGAATCACTGGTGAAGTGGCCCCTGGCTTCCCCTACACGTTGCTTAGGAGCCAAACACTGAAACCCCAGATCTACAATTTCCAGGCCAAGCATCACGTATCACACTAATTAGTGAAGTGGTACGGGTTTCCTCCGAAGCATTACTGGGAAGGCAAAAACAAATTTTTTTAATTAACTAAAAGGCACGCACATGATGTTGAAATCTATAGAACATTCATGTGAGAACCGAAGGAACTAAAGATCTAAATAAAAACATAGATTACAGACCTAGCACTGAAGTCAATAACCCCCAAATCAATTTTTCAGCTTAACTATTGTTGACCAGAATTATAGGACTTTTAATGGACAAGAAAAAGAAATTTTTGAAATCTAATTTTTACTACAAAGCAATAGTGTTCAAGACTGTGTAGAACTGATAAAGGGAGAAACATTTAATATTAGCAGAAAATAAAAAACAAATCCATGCAAATACGGCCATGTAAATTCTGACCACAGTATAAAATCAACTGCAAATTATCATAACATCACTTGTCACAGGAATGAGTAACTGCAGCCTAAATATAACATCTTAGTTTATTTATTTATTTGTTTTTGCTTTTGGGGGGGTCACACCCGGCAGTGCACAGAGGTTACTCCTGGCTCTGCACTCAGGAATTACCCCTGGCGGTGCTCAGGGGACCCCATGGGATGCTGGGAACCGAACCCAGGTCGGCTGCGTGCAAGGCACAAGCCCTACCCGCTGCGCTATTGCTCCAGCCTCTAACATCTTAGTTTAATAATTAATTCAGAATAGGTCAGACACTTAAAAATAAAACCTAAATAACATTTAGAACAAAATACTGGAGAAGACCTGTGACAAACTTAGCTAAGGAAATTTTAAATATAAAATTTTAAAAATAAAATTTAAAAGAAAAAATATTGTTAAATGCTGTACTTCATCAAAATTTAAAACTTTTCCTCAGCAAATAAGGCCTCATAAAAGAAGGCACACTCCAGAAGAAAAAAAAAAGTTTGCAAATCAATCACCTTTTCAGTCAAGAACTAGTATCGAAATATATTGGGAATTCTCAAAACTCAGGAAGGAAACAAACCAATTAAAAACTGGGAAATTCTAAATAATTAGTTTAATAAAAAAAATGTATCAAATAGCACCATCCGTCCTCCCATTGTTTATCGATTTGCTCGAGCGGGCACTAGTAACATCTCACAACAAATTTTAAGACTGGTTACTGTTTTTGGCATATCGAGTACGTCATGGGTAGCTAGCCAGGCCTTGCCATGCAGGCGAGATACTCTCGGATATGTCAAATAAGGACAAAAATGTATTTTTCAACGTCATTAATTACTATGGAAACAGGTTAAAGTCACAATGAGAATATTTCACATATTTCACTACTGATTCACCTTTCCAATTGTTTCTCAAATTTACCCTCTGTTCATCTGCATAGCTAGCCCAAGAAGTTCAGGTACACAAAACCAACACTACTGAAATCAGAAACTGGTCTCCCCTCCTCAATTTCCCCTCTTTCATACCTTCACAATAAATCAAGTTATCTTTCTAAACTATCCTGAGATAATCTTTCCTTCGAAACAAATTTTTTTCTAAAGTTTAAAGACGACACAGCATAGCAAAGGCATAGGCGTTTTTTTAAGTCTCTGCATGACACACCACATGCAACAACCCGGTACTCTTAATCTAGCCTAAATTCACTTAAATTCCCTAAGATACACAGAGTATTTTGAATGACAAACATCTTCACACAATCACAACCATACTGTTATTCTTTGATTGCCTCGAGCAGGCGCCAGTAATGTCTCCTTCGTCCTAGCCCTGAGACTTTTTAAAAAAAGTGCCATATTCAAGGCTCTTTCAGAGTTAGGAGAATGAGACCATTCATTGTTACTGGTATTTGGCATATTGGGTACGCCATGGGGAGTTTGCCACACTCTGCCGTGTGGGCAGGTCACATTCAGTAGCCTGCCAGTTTGTCCAATATCTTAAGTCTGATGAATTATCTGCAGAATCTATATACACTTCTCAGGGGCCAGAAGCAGGCAGGATGCTTGCCTTACACATGGTCTACCTGGGTTCAAACACATCAAATATGGTCCCCAGAGCACCTCTGGGTATGATCCCTGAGAAGAGAGCCAGGAATAATCCCTGAGCATTGGTAGGTATAGCCAAAATGGAAAAAAAAAATGTATTTCCTATCCATATTATTTGAATATACCAACCAAACTCATACTTTAAATTTCATTTTAATTTTTATCGTCTTTGTGATGTGCCCCTCCAGTGTTTAACCCACCAGTTGCCTTCCTTCAAGTGCCAATGGAGTAAACCTCCCCTCTCACCCATTTCCAAACACTGAACCTAAGTCCCTCTAAATGGGCTCATTATCTTCTGCTTATTTTATAGTTGGGTTTGTAAGCTTTATCTTCTCTCCCTATCTAAGGTTGTTTAAAATCAAAAATCCTCTTTAACATTTGGCACAGTATTTACTTAAGCCAAATAGTACAGGCAATGATGAAAACATTTAAGGTTATATTAAAGGGTTGGAAAGATGGGTGTAGGGAGCCAAGCACTTGCCTTGCACGTAGTCACCAGCACAGCCTGGCCCCCAGCCCACAACACCTGTGGGAGTGAACCTCTCCTCACCAGCAGTCAGAAGCCCCATGCACCAACTACTGTGTGTCCCCTGCCCCCACCCACCCACCCACCAGAGTCATTCCAAACCCAATCTCAGAAACAACACATTCCTCCTAAAACTTTAAAGGAACACTACCATCAATTCAGTCCAGCATCTTTTACATGAAACATTAGATGCGTTTATAGGAAACAAAGTGGAATGAAACTACGTAGTCTAATAACTCAAAACTTTTCTAAAAGCATTTTAGTGGCTTTAATTGATAGGCAAATTAGAAGTCAGAAATTTTGAAATTTGCCCTGGCCTGAGAGGATTTCTCTAAGTACACTGGGAAAGTATATGAACGGTATACGCCAACGTTTTTCTACTACTCAACAACTTTTTGACAGACTATAAGAGACTCATTTAGGATGATTTCCCTTGAGGAAGCAAAGGAAAAGCTGACAGAAAACAAAGTTCACAAGCAGAGGGGCTCAGATAACTTTGACCCCTGCTAAACAAATTAACCGGGAAATTCAGACAAGTAAGTTTGATATTAACTTTACCATTCTATATCCTTCCACTTCTTCAGTCAAAATGCTCTATCCCTATGGCTAAAAAACCTTGAACTGCAGGGGCTGGAGAGACTGTACAGTGTTTGCCTTGCATGCAGCCAGTCTGGGTGCAATCCCCAGTATCCCATCCGGTCCCCAAAGCACTGCCAGGAGAAATGGCTGAGTACAGAGCCAAGGCTGACCCCTAAGCACTGCTGGGTGTGACCCAAAAACAAAACAAAAAAAACTTAGTACATTTTAATACTGGCAAACAATGAGTGAACATTTATGAATAATCACTACATATGTAAAGAAAAGTTGACACACGAAAGGATCACTGAAAAGCTTTACTGACATCGATGTCATTACTGTCATTGCTATTGTTTTGTCAAATACATATTTTAAATAAATAGAGCAATGGTTCTTGAACACATTTTCAGAAAAAAAGCTATCAACTATTTCCAAAAATAAATGCAGTTTTCTTTGTCGTTGTTTAATGAATAACTCAGTCTGCACTAGGATCATCAACTGAGGATCCTTCTCTTAAAATCACTATGAAAAGTAGTGCTTTTTCTGCATGAGCAAAAAAAAAAAAAAATACTACTAGTTACAGCATTTTCCTATCAGCAGTTTTTGTCACATATTTTCATTTTTAACATTTATTTACAAATGTTGTGCTTATGTAATTTTCTTGTAGGAAAAAACGCATCTTAGATTTTTTTTCACTTAGGAACAGAAATCATTTTGCAAGCAGTCTTACCTGAATAATTGTAGCCAAAATATTTACATAATTATTTTCAGTCTGATAGAGCTCTTTTGCAACCTGCCACCTGGCTGACTGTTTTAAAGGAACTGGAGTGGAACTTTTAGAAGATTTGGAACAAGACTTAGGAGTATCTAAAAGATAAAAAGATTTCATGGAAGTCAGATGTACATACCAAATATTTTACATATGAAATAGAAACAGGGAGACAAATACATTCTTACAACATTACTATCCTATTCATTAGAGTAAAATTTCACCGCTGGATAACAACAGGTAAAAATAACACCCCCAAATATCAGTAACTGCAAAAGACAGAAATTCTGCTAAACAATTTGCCTGTACTCTCAAAATGTCAAGGTCATTATAAAGACTCAAGAACCATTATAGACTAGAAGGAGCAAATAGTTCTTTAAGCACGTATCCTTCCTTGAACACATATCTCTCTTGTTTCTCTCTATGTGCTTTTGCTAGTTTGCAGAAGCAGCTTGAGTTCCCTCAAACATGTTCTCTCTCGCTCTCTAATTTTGCCAATTTTTCACAATATGAAATTCATTCCAAATAAAGAAATTAATAAAGTAAAATGGAAGGCAACATAAAGATATACACATCCAAAAGAAATAATTGTTACGATTACAGTATAATTACAATAATAAAAACTTTTCATTTATGGAGGGAAGCTCTTTGCCAAACAAGCAAACAAAACACCAGCAGCAAATTCCTTGTCAGTTTGAAGTATCTTATTAAAAAGACATCCAGGGGCTGGAGAGATAGCACAGCAGGTAGGGCGTTTGCCTTGCATGCGGCCGACCCGGGTTCGATTGCCAGCATCCCATATGGTCCCCTGAGCACCGCCAGGAGTAACCCCTGTGCATCGCCAGGTGTTACCCAAAAAGCAAAAAAAAAAAAAAAAGACATCCAGTTTAACTCACAGAAGGATGTTTTAACATATTTCACATAAGTATCTCAAGAAAAAAAATTTTTTAAAGAAATTTAATAAAAGCTTAAAACATTATCACAATGTTTTAGATCACTTCAATATCACTGTCACTCGTCTTTATATAAGTCTGACTAGCAAATTTTTCATAGCTATATACAACAAATAGAATGGCATGGAAGATATAGTCCCAACATATTAATTCTACTCAATAAATAATTTTAAGTATTATTGAAACAATAATAATTGTTTATTATTTTATTATTATTACCGCTCGAGTAATTCGATGAATAACCGGGTATCAAGCGATCAAGTGATTAAAACAATCATGGTTTACGGAGTTTCAAATACTCCACAAATATGAGACTTCAAAGAAATGTCCCATACAAAAATCAAATTACATTCAGACTCCCCTTACCACAAATCTGGAAAATTTTGTGGAGGAAAAAAATTGATGTACTTAGCCCTAGTACTAGTGTACAACCTGGCTATGAACAAGTGAATTGTCAGGCCAACATATCTAATCAGAATTCCCTGCTCAACTAGCTGGGTCAATCTTCCCAAATGCTACTTAAACTACCCTGTTTTTTTTTTTTTTTCTAAAATTACAAGGTGTTGCTCTAAATATAAACTTCGTATTTGGGTCAACCTAATATTTCTTGCATTCATTATTTTGCTGTCATCCCATGCTTTCCCTTCCTGTCACTCAAGTCTATCAATATTTTCCCAAGGAGTCTTATTTTTCTTTCCAACTATCACCAATTCTTTCACCTTACGACCTAAGTCACTGGGTTAATGCGTGGATTAATTCCAAACTGCCCTCCTTCTAAAGATTGTTCAAAAACAAATCCCGTGCAAATTCCTTACTCAATCATGCTGCTGCTCAAGGAAGTTTCAGAGAAGTTCCTCACTGATGACAACAGCAAACAGTGTAAGCACCCCATTCTGATTACAAAGTCTTCTAGTGAAGCTCCCCTTATTCCCATTGGCTACTATCCCCACACACTCCAAGCAAAGTAACCTACATAAACTATTTCCTAGAAATTCTATCTGTATTCTCGTTCCTCTGACATTCTCATATCCACCTCGGTTATCTTGGTCTACTCTAAAATGACTTTCAGTTCCTTTCCTGTGTACTTAACAAATATCTATCTACTCTGTACCAATCTCTTGGAGTAAAGCAGAGAATGAGAGAGGCAAAGTTTATGTTTTCATAAAGTTCAATTTACATTCTGGTGAAGCAAATAAAAATAACATGATTGAAATATATAACTATTATTGAAGACAACAACTCAGATGATAGGTTGCTAGGAAAGAAAGGCAGAATAAAGATTCAACTTTGCAGAGAATCCAGCAAGACTTCTTTCAGGAGAGAAAGTAAGTATAAAAATCCTGCAGTGTGGAGATATTGAAAATATTTAAAAATAACCAAGATTGGGCTGGAGTCATAGTACAGCGGGTAGGATGCTTGCCTTACACACAGCTGACCGGGGTTCGATCCCCAGCATCCCAAATGGTCCCCCGAGCACCGACAGAAGTAATTCCTGAGTGCAAAGCCAGGAATAACTCCTAGACATCACCAGGTATGACCCAAAAAGCAAAAAACAAACAAACAAATCCCAAGACTGACAAGCATAGAGATTACTGGAGAGCATGCTACTACAGGTGTTGAAGGCAAGATTATCAAAAGAATTGTAGGAACAGGGCATTCCCTTTTGTTGTCTCTCTCCTTTTGGGTGCTGTGGTTTGCAAAAGAGGCACTGAGTGGCAGTCATGTTCAGTCCATAGTCTACTTTCAGCCCTGCCACAGAGGTGGGGTGGGATGGGGGGGATGGGGGATGGGAGAGATGCTGGGACCCGTGGTGGTGGAGGGATGGGTACTTGATCATTGTATAACTGAAACCCAAGCACAAAAATTTGTAAGTCTACAACTCTACCTCATGGTGTTTCACTAGTAAAAATAAATAAATAAATAAATAAATAAATAAAAATTGGAGGACTATTGTAATACAAGGTCGTTGAATGACTTTAAGCATAGAAGCAGCATGATTCAATCAAAAACTTTTTAGAGACTTCTCTTATACAAAGACCATCTAGGGGAGCCAGAGGAGACAGCTCACAGGGTCAAGCAACACTTAGTGTGCAGGAGGCCTCGATTTGAGTCCTGCACCACATACAACTCCCCACCCCACCCAACCCCACCAGGAGTGACCCCAACTAGCAAACTAGGAATAGCCTCTTAGCATCATCCGTGTGGTGCAAAAAAACAAAAAAAGAAAAGAGGAAATCAAACAAACACAGATCGTAATTTTTGGGGATACCAATCCCCAAAGATACCAATTGGTGGGGAAAGAGCAGAGGAGGAGAGGGACCACCTGAGAATTCTATAATCAACTAAGAGGACCATTTTCAAGAAAGAGTTGATAAAGGAAGGTGGCAAAGGAATAGAGTTAAAAGCTATGACAAGAATTAAGAGCTCCAATTTGATAATAAACTTAAGATAGGTATTAGGTATAAACATCAACATATAAGTGTTTTAAAGCCACGGATTTCAACAAGATCATTTTAGGGAGAACACAATAAAAAAATATGTGCAAATCAGAAATAAGATTCAATTTAAGAGTTGGAAAAAGAAGCCAGACAAAGGAAAATGAGAAATAAGTGATGCACTGGGTGGAAAATCTTTCCCAAAAAAGAGGGGGCTGAAGCAATAGAACAGTGGGTAGGTCGTTTGCCTTGCACGAGGCCGACCTGAGTTGATTCCCAGCATCCCATATGGTCCCCTGAGCGCCGCCAGGAGTAATTCCCAAGTGCAGAGCCAGGAATAACCCCTGTGCATTGCCGGGTATGACCCAAAAAGCAAAAAAAAAAGTTTCCCAAAAAAGAGTAGTTGTATCTGTATTAAGTGCTGTTGATTGCATAAAAACGGTGAGTCTCCCCAGCTTGTCACTTATATAGGAGGGACCAGAGTTAACTGGAATGCATGAAAAAAAAATCAAGGAAATGAGGTCCAAGGATGTGGCTTAGTGGTGAAACCTTGCATGCATGAGACAAAGGTTTTATTCCTGGCGCCACAGTGGCGGAAAGAAAAGAAAGATTACGATCTGTGTTTGTTTGATTGGTATCAAGAATTTAATTTTTAAGCAGCTCTATCACTTTCCAATTCTGTGGTAATTAAAGGCAGAATCTGTCATAGTCACTACAGCCAGTATTTCATCTACGTTCTGATAATCATTCTACTTTATTTTTAAAGAGCAATTTTAAAAGGTGAATTACCTCCATAGTTAATGCTAGATTCCGGCGTGTTGGAGATATCTAGGAGAGACCCTATAGAGAGGGAATGTTCAGCTGATGGGCGCTTTCGGGGAGGGAAAGGTGACAAGTCTGTCTCTCTTGAAAGCTGAGCCAGTGTCTCTTTTAACCGACGTCTTTTGCGATTGCTGTTTGGGGTGTTTAAAGAAAGCAGTGACACGGATTTCTTCAATTCAGGACTATCAGCCTGCAATCAAAAGCACAGAACCTTGATTTACTTCCATAGTTCTTTACAGAAAAAAAACAAAAGAAAAACATCCAGAACTGATAAAATATAATTATCCCACAATCATTTTACAACTCTACATTCCGCAAGGTAATTCATTACTTACTGGGGATGTGGTACTTTGGGGCTACACCTGGTGGTGATACTCAGGAGACGCTTCTGGCCCTGCACTCAGGAATTACTCCTGGCCGTGCTTGGGGAGACATCTGGGATGCCCGAGATCAAGCCTGGGTTGGCTGTGCTCAAGATGACCCTACCTCTGGACTATCACTCTGGCCCCACGGTGAGGTAATTTAGTAGCTTCAAAAAATACAGTCAAGAGATCACGATAACTTCTAAGCTAGAGTAAACATTTTTTTCCTTCCCAGGGCACAATCACTATTACATCTTACTCCTCTACGTTCATAGGTACCTGATGGGGAAAGATGACTTTCACAAGGATGGGGATATTCACATTATTTTTTTCTTCACTGTACTCCTAACACTTAGCACCTCGGGAGACGTTGTGCTCCCCAGAATTTACAAATTAACACTTTCAGGAGTTCTTCCCCGAAAATCTAAATCATCTTTTTAAAACTTTGCTAAGAATGGGAAACATGAATAACTGAAAGTTTAAGAGGACACAATATAGTACCTGCTTCCACTTTGCCAAGGCACAAGCTCACACCTCATCTTCAATATTTCACTTAAAATGGCTAAATTCCAAACTGAAGTAAATCCTCCCTGAAGGCTGCTTCTATTACCTTTATGTCATATTTTGGTGGATAATACATTTTGGTGGATTATACACTGCTGCACCAAGATGCAGCATATAGACTGGGTTTTTCTTCCGAGATTCTACTACTAGGGTCATTTTTAAATAACACAACTCCTAATTTTTCCATGGATCCCAGTACTTAGATAGCAAAATACAAATCCTAAAATGACACATTGTTCTGTAGCTACACATAAATCTATCAACACATACATGGTTTTAAAGCAGTAAAAGTAAATAAGATCATTTGGGAAGCATACAGCAAAAAAAGAAACAACTCAGAAATAAGATTCAATTTAAGAACTGAAGAAAGAAGACACACAAAGGAATATAGAAAATAAGAGAGGTACCGGGCAGAAAAAAGTGTGCGGAAGAGTAGCTTAAGGCTTTAAGTTTCTTAAACATGGAAATGTTATTGTTCAGAATGGTACCATAACGAATTAGCACAGGACAGCTATTATATTAAAACATTTGTTACACTTGTCAAATTCAAATCTAAATTGTAAATTAAGAATATTACTAAATATCGAATGACATAATCATTCTGAAACAACTAAAATGACCAAAAAAAAAAAAAAGGCGGCAAACCATGGTCTTTTGGGATAGACCATCTTCACACAATCCAATGATGAAGAAACAAACCAAACAACCATACCTTTTCAAATAAGTACATCGTTTCTCCAGCCCGGGCATCCATCTGGATGCTTCCCCAGAACCACTATGTGAGAGAAAAGAATATTTTCATTAAGAATTAAATCTTTATCAGAAAAGTCTTTAGTACTACTCACAAAAACTAATCTTATTCTGGATGTACTTGCCTCTTGCTTGACAACATAAAGTTTCTTTGAAGGTTCAAATGGAATTTCTTTCACGATGTTCTCTTCAACTATGAGGTGAGTACATCTCTCATCTCCAACCGGTAAGTAGCTACCTCCTACAGAGGAATCCATATAAGCATAAGTGAGCATTTATTAATGCTTCTGAGAATTAATAAATAAGTCTACTCATCTTTGAACCCAAAGAGTGAGTTTATTCACCAGGAAGAGCTGAAAATTACAGGGACCAATGAACGCCTCACACAGCTCTAGATTAGATCACAGCACCAGAAAAAGAGAAAGAGAGAAAGAAAATATATACATATACAAATTTTTTTTAATTATGCAAAGTTCTACCTTGCATTTCCGTCATTTCTTCCATGTTGGTTTTCTCTTCATCTGAAAATCCCAGGAAACTTAAAATGCAATCTTGAAATGGAGGAACTTTAAATTCATTTCTAAAGTCATCAGCTGCTGCACAGAAATTCCTAAAAACAAAATACACTATTCTAAAGCCAGCTTTACTCAAATTCAGTAGGTTAGGTACGGAAACTTATAAATCTCTAATTCTCATAATTCATCTTATTGCAGAAATACAGAAATGTTCAAGAAACAAACTGACAAAGAAATGAGTATGCCCTCAACCACCTCAAAGTAACTTCTGACAAATCTGGATAAAGTCTAACCTTTCTAAGACTAAAATCCCCGCTCTATACATTCCAAAGGCTCCTTAGTTTCATGAATTTCCAGGAAATGATGAAGAACAATCACAAGGAATCATGAAGCTGGAAAGTTCAAAGTAATGAATTACTACTTAGAATGTAATGAAACAAAAGAAAAGCAACACTATCCAAATTCAGCTACATTAAACTGTTTAATAATTACAGAATACTTAGAATATTTAGAATACCAAAATTTCAAAAGGCACAAAGTTCCCACGTGGCTTTTCAACTTTCAAAAATAATTTTATTCTACCTATACTTTATTTCCTAAACTAACCAGACTGAATTCAATTTGTCTGTAAAACATATAAATTTAGGGATTTTGGTACATGGGTTTATCTTTACAATTTTCTATGAATAATGCATATAATGAGCTACTGAAATTCTAAATACTTACTGTTCATTCCGCCTTTCCCAAGCTTTATAAATCCATTCTGGCTTCATAATTGGAGTACCCAGGCTCACAGCAATCTAAAATTACCAACATAATTACAATAACCGCACTCATGTAAGTTTTAAGCAATTATAAACACCCATTTTCTTTCCTCACAAAATTTCAGGTCATTGTTCATCTGCTTTGTAACAACTTAAAATCAGAAAAAAAAAACAAAAACAAAACTGTCTTTCCAATTATACACATTAGGTTTAAATAACTAAACCAAGTTTCATCACATCTAAGATGTTTCTATTTTCTTAAATTTATCTCTAAATTTGATGAAGTTTCTCTTTATTATTTATCTAGTTCTACTTTTTTCAAGTTCACTTCTTTGGAAAGACAGGTCCAAGATAGCACTAGTGAAGACATCTGATAGAATCACTATAAACTTCTTTAAACTGGACAGTGTGCCTCCAAGGAATTCAGCATTATCCATCAAATAATAATCATTTGCACATAAACACAATAAGGAAATCTGGGAAAGACTGATAAACTCTTCCTAAGATATTCAAGTAGAATACTAAGTCTTTTTAAAATATTTAAAAGTTAAATCTTAGAACCATTCTTTAATATAGTTCAAATCTTAGAACCATTCTTTAATATAATTCAAGTCTTATTAAGACCATTTAGATAATTATGAAATATCTGCTCTGATCATTTCATGACCCACTCATTCACCAAATGCTGATAATTATTATTATACCGTTGCAATTACCTTTGCAATTATTATGTATTTTCCTGAAATTTTATCTATCTACCAATTTCCACAAGCTCCTATTTCAAGATCTAAATCAATTTCCATTACCTCTTTATGATCTAAAGGACCATGCTCTTACAACTCAAAATTCTTACTAAATGTTTACACAGTTCACATATAGTATGCAAATGTATACAATAACTGAATTTTTCATCCTTAATAACATGCTAGGTAAATAGAACAAGAGTGCCATTACTGAACCAGTTCCAAACAGATACATACCCTGAACTTTTCTCCTTGGGTACAATTTGCCACCAAATGTGTCACTTTTGAATTAAACTCTTTTCGAATCACTCCGCCCATGTGATGGACCAAAGTCACCAATTTAACCTCAAAAGAAAAATTAAGCAACATTGGCTTTATGGTTAACGTAACCAATTTTAAACTGCTTGAAATTCATTTAGCATTGACTATTATTTATAAGATGCATATAAGAGTTTTTCATAAAGCTGTAAATTCAATACAAAAGCTTTACAAATCACAGAAAAATGTTTGTAAGAATTCTCTAGAGCAATGAAAATAAGGCTAGAACTGCAATGTAAAAACAAAAACTTCAAATAAAGTGGCGGGCATATTGAATAAAAGACAAATGCTCAGATAACCATAAAAAATAAGCAAATGAAAGATGAGCTAGTCACAAAATCTTCCTGTTACTCACGTGGCAAATATCTGATTCCCTTCTGACCTTGTTTCCTTCCTGTGATACCCCATTCCGTTCAACCACTTTTCCCATGTGGCCCTTTTAGAATATTCAGAAGGCCCGCAGAGTCACACTCTCCAGCTGAGACATACTAATCTAGGGGCTGGTGCTAGTACAGCGGGTAGAGCGCTCGCCTCAACTGACCACAGCCAACCCAGGTTCCATCCTCAGAATCCCATACAGCACTCAGAGACCGACCAAAGCGATTCCTAAGCACGGAGCCAGGATTAACCCTGGAGCATTGCTGGGTGTGGCCAAAAAAAGGAGAGAGAAATGCTAATCTAGACCCCCCCCCAAAAAAATGCTTCTTCAGAAGACTCGTTCATCTTCACAAATATTAAAACCTGACATTCACAATTTCTCCTTTAGTATTTTTAAAATAAAGTAATGATATATGACCCAAAAAAGTTAATCTGGCATTCGTTCTGGCAGAGAAAATAACCTTGAATAGAATGTTTTAAAACACTTACCAGTTCTTCTTTCTTCCTGAATCCAGTAAAGCACAGGACGAGGTTCATCATACTTGTACAATAGAGTGGACGGCATGAAAATGGCAATGGCTGAAGGATACAATTTGAAATCTGTGAGTTATCTTTATAGAAAAAAAAAAAACAGAAGACATCTTTCTCAAGCTTAACATACTTCCCCCATAGCAAACCTTCCCACTTCCAAGATTTACCTTCATTTTCTACAAAACAATAAACTTTTTTAATGGCCAATTTCACAATAAAAATATTTCCAAGACTCCCAAATCAGATTTGATATATATTATCTAAACACTCTTCTACCATCAAATTACACATAACATATCCAAACGTTTAAGTCCAAAACACATTCTGATACATATGAACTCCTGCCTGTAAGATTTCATGTTCTGGGGCTGGAGCAATAGCACAGTGGGTAGGGCGTTTGCCTTGCACACGGCCCACCCGGGTTCAATTCCCAGCATCCCATATGGTCCCCCAAGGACTGCCAGGAATGATTCCTGAGTGCAGAGCCAGGAGTAGTAACTAACCCCTGTGCATCGCCAGGTGTGACCCAAAAAGAAAAAAGAAAAAGATTTCATGTTCTGCAGTGAAAGAGATAGCAGGGATTAAGATTCTTGCCTTTTATGTTGTCAATACTGGTTCAATAGGGTTCCCAGCACCCTAGATAGTCCCCTGAGCAACTCCAGAAGTGGGCAAACTCCCTAGCCCTACAAAAAGTAAAAGTAAGGCACCAGAACGATAGTACGAAGGTAAGAGCCCGCCCTGTATAAGCCCTCCAAAACCAGCATCACATACTGTCCCCCGCCTCCCTCAAGCACAGCCACGAGTGACCCCTAAGCACTCCTTTCCATGCTCTATTGCTCAGAGGCAGGAATAGATCCTGAGCACTGCTGGGTGCAGCCTAAACATTTCAAATAATAATTTAAAAATGGGTGTGGGGTGCAGAGTGATAGTACAATGGAAAGGGCACTTGCCTTACCAGGTTCGATCCCCAGCAACCCATATGGTCTACCAGGAGAGATTCCTGAGTGCACAGCCAGGAGTAAACCCAGAGCACTGGGAGATGTGCCCCCCCCCAAAAAAAATAATAATTTAAAAATATATTACATATTCCATAAATTTTATTTTTGTTGTGCCAGCGATAGCACAGTGGGTAGGGCATTTGCCTTGCACGTGGCTGACCCAGGTTCTATTCCTCAGCCCCTCTCGGAGAGTCTGGCAAGCTACCAAGAGTATCTCGCCCGCACAGCAGAGCCTGGCAAGCTCCCCGTGACATATTCGATATGCCAGACACAGTAACAACAAAGTCTCCAATGGAGACGTTACTGGGCCCGCTCAGCAAACCAATGAACGGGAGGACAGTGACAGTGACAGTGACAGTGCCAGCGACAGAACCCAGGGCTTCACACATGGCAGGCAAGTGCTCTACCACTAAGCTATATACCTAGCCTGCATGTGTTATTATAAATACTCCAAAGTAAAGTAAAATCGAGTCAAAGATGTTTCTAAATAAATTTAGAAAATGTTTCTAAGTAAATATTTCTAAATATTTACTTGTAAATAACAGAATGTTATTTATTTTTATTAATGAAACACCATGAGGTACAGCTGTAGACTTACAGACTTTCATGCTTGGGTTTCAGTTATACAATGATCGAGTATCCATCCCTCCAACAGTGCCCATTCTCCACCACCAATGGTCCCAGTAGCCCTCCCCCGCAACTCCCCCCAACCCACCCCACATCTATGGGCAGGGCATTCCCTTTGGCTCTCTTTTCTGTATGGTGTTGAGGTTTGCAACAGAGTTACTGAGTGGCCATCGTGTTCGGTCTATAGTCTACTTTCAGCACACATCTCCCATCCCAAGCAAGTCCCCTAAACACCCTTTACTTGGTGTTCCCTTCTCCATCTGAGCTGCCTTTTCCCCCAGCACGTGCTGCCGGCTTCCAAGCCGTGGAGCAGACCTCCTGGTACTTAAGTAACAGATATTTGAACCATTTATGATTTCTGCTTCTGAGCTAAAAGTGGAGACAGAAAACAATCTAATCAATGGTTTAATATATTTATGTACTTATCTCTCCACTTATATATTTACATGTCTTTTGTACTTCAGAGATCAAACCCAAGGCCTCACACATCCAAGAGGAGTGCTCTATGATAACCTACACTCTCAGCTTAAATATTAATATATATATATACACAAATTTGACATGAAAGCTTATATGCTTACATATGTTTACATATAAAGTCTGTATCTATGTAAACATGCCTATTTGGTTTTGGAAACACTTCTAACTCAAATGAGAGGATTAAATAATATCATGCATTTTTTTACTTGAATCTATTACAGAAGTATGAAAACCAAGGCCAGGTAAACACCCCAAAGGGATTCAAAATTATAATAGAATTAAAGGCTATATTCAGGTTGTCAATGCTGGCAACATTATAAATTAATTCATACTTTCTACTTAACTGTCGAAAATGTTTCTGCTTATTTTCACAAAACTCAACAAAAATTCAACCTTGAAAAATAACAATGAACACATATATTTTTTTCTTACCCCTCCATTTTGTGCACAGTTTAATACAACTGGTGGTCCAATAACTCTGCAATCAGTCTTGTGTAAGTCATTAAAGACACTGTTCTGGAAGTCCGTGACTATAAATACATTTTCATATTCTGGAGAATCCAAACTTTCGAATTCTTCCACTGATTCCATTTTGACAAAGGGCACTTTAATTTCCTTTTGTTCCATGTAATTATTAAAAATAAAAATCAGAAATAAAAACATATGATAAAATTTATTAACTCCAAAGGAGGTCTAAAATAAATTCAACATCATTAATTTTCAGCTTAAATCTGTAGAAAACTTAAATTTCTAATTTAACCATTATACTTCATAGCAAATAGTCTACTTGTTTGTGTGTGTGCGTGTGTGTATATGTGTGTGTTGCTAGGATCAGATCCAGGGTATCACACATGCAGGCATATGTTCTACCACTGGCCATACATTTATTTACATTCTAATACACACATATATCCAGCCACATTAAGATCTTAAGTTATGAAACTAACATTATACGATTTTAATTGATTTTATTTGTAGACTTTATAAATCATCTAGTACCATGAAATAAAATTAGAATGTTTTAAAGTACACATTCTGATAGTAAAGCAGGTATCAGAAATAATATATACTGTTTTTAATTTTGACTGAGAAAATCATGATAGATATACAACTCTTTCTGCACAATTATCTTTATAAAAATAGAAAAAAAACAGGGACTGGAGAGTTGCAGCAGGGATTGAAGTATGTGACTTCCATGTACTAAACCGAGGTTTAATCCCCGGTATCCCAAGGTTTTACAAACATTGCTAGGATCAGCCCCTGGAGCCCTGAAGCATCTCATGGTATGGCTCCGAGAGTTCCGAGTACCAGTACCGACTACGCGGGCTGAATAATCCCCAGCACCACAAAGCCTTCACTGCATATTGCATTCCTGAGTCTCTCTGGCAATGAAGCCCTGGCTGGCAGAACATCTGGAGTGGCCCACAGGGCCCTGAAGCATTGCTTAGAGAAGGCCTGGCCCCCTCAAAATAGAACAGAAAAAGAATAGTGGTAGTTTATATGTACGAAAATGATATAACTTAAGAATTTCAATATATAAAAGTCAAGTGAGAGATAAATGTGAAATGAGCTACAGCATGACATATTTAGGAGAGAACAAGACAAGTTACTGTTAAAAATGAATGAAAATAATGATAATATTCAAGTACCTTTCTATGATATGATAACTATGTAGAAAGAACAAAACCATCCACAAATTAATTGTAAACTAGTCAATAAATTATTCAGTTTTTTTTTCCTAGATTGAACTGATAGGCTGAATTACATGTACAAAAATTAATATTGAAGTAAAAACCCCCTTTAAACTCAGACTATGACTGTTTTGGGGGACATAGTCTTTGATGAGATAACTGTGGCTAAATTGTCACAAGAGTGGGCCCTATCTGACCATGAGCTTTGTAAGGTGAAATTTAGACACGCAAGAGATACAACGGGAGTAAAACCACGTGAAGTCATAGCAAGAAAGTAACGACTATATATAAGTCAAGATAAGAGGTTTCAAGAGAAACCAAACTTGTCAACACCTTGATGTAGGACTTCTAGACTCCAGAAATATAAGAAAATATAACTGAGGTGTTCACACCACCCAATTTGTGATATTTTGTGATGGGATCCAACAAAATTGAGAAATACGGCTTAAAATTAATATAGTAAAGTAGGTATTTACTTCACATGCTGAAGTAAATTCTCTGATCTTTCTCATTTAGTGTGATTTAAAATTTTGGAAACAAAAGCATGAATTGAGAATATAAAATAAGAAAAAAACACAGAATCTAAATATCAGGTTTTATAAAGAGCATGTCATTTGTAAGAATTTCATTATATAAAACATATGTGTTAATTTGAGGTTTCAGAAACACCATAATTTAAAAGTAGGAAATAGTTCTATTCATACAGCTTCAGAGTGCCCAAAATATAACCTGTGAGAAATTGAGATCCAATCACCATTAAGTGGGGAATTAATTATATTCAAGGGAAGTGCAGCATGCCACATGCAATGAAATGCTTGACCTACCATATTAACAACACTTTTTATTAATTTTTCATCCGATTTTCCAGCACAACTTTCTTTTATCTTTATTACAGGGACTTCCATTATCTTAACAGTCTGCAGAAAAGAAACTTAAGTGTGAGATTACGAAAACCAGTCAATTAGTGGCATACTAATGGAAGAAAAACAGCCTTTTTTAAAAAAAGAAAATTAACTGGAAAAAAAACTCCATACCTTTAAGGCATTTATAAGTTCTTCCTGTTTTCCAGCTTCTTGGACTAATACCATTCTTGTTTCAATCTGAGGCATTTCTTCTATTAAAATTCAAAATGTTCGAATATGATTATCAGGAACTAACAACAAAACTGGAATTTGCCATTCCCTCTTTTAGCTCTATCTGGTTATGTTTTTATCTTTGAGGAAGTCATAACACTTTCTAGAATAAGCTTGGCATATAACACCACTTTAGAAAGACAAATCATTGTACAATCTACAAATACCAGTGGCCCTCCTCACCCAGGAGCGCACGACAATCTTATTCCATAGTCATCTATTTTGACAACGCAAGCAGTCTTCAGAAAGAGCCATGTACAAAGTGGTATGAAATTATGGGCTCTCTACCTCATCAGTCATAATTAGCCAACAATGCTGCAACTAGTTTGTTCTTACATGCACACCACAAAACAGTTACCTAAAAGTAAAAAAAGCATTTCCCCTTCAAAATCGGGAACATTGATCCAAAGAGTAGTATAAATTCTATGCGGTTTGAAGGAATTCTGTTAACAAATACTTCTGAATATGTCCACTCTAGCTTAAAAACATCAACAGTCAAATCTTAAGAAAGTCGTGAGTGGGCCAGGGAGCTAGCTCGGGCAGGGGGTCAGGAGTGCAGGCTTTACCACGGAGCTGGATCTCTGACCCCGCAGGGTTTCCCAGGCACTGCTGGGTGTCACCCTGGAGACTGCCAAGCATCACCAGAATGGCTCCAGTGGCCCTGAGCACTGTTGGTTCTGCCAAGCCTCCCTAAAGAGTCAATGATAAATTGAGGGTTTAAACAATTTCTAATTATGTTTTAATAACTTAAACTTATGGAAAACGACTGTCGATTATATTTCAATAAAACTGAGTTAAGAACTGAACTGGTAGTGTTTTAAAATACATATACTATCTATCTATCTATCTATCTATCTGTCTATTATATAATATAGCACGGCTTACCATCAACATATGGAGTAGATCCAATAAATAAGTTTTCCTTAGAAGTGTCAGTAACTTTAGAATCAAAAATGGATGAGTTTGCCAAACTTGTTCCTTCAGTAGGGGATATTAATGCACTATTGTCAGCCATCTTTTCTATTCTTCTGTATTGGCTAAAAAAGTAAAATCGGAATTAAAAAAAACATGATTTGGGGGAAAAAAAAAAACAAAAGCAGTACCTGTAATTTATAAAGAGTCTTATCACCCGCTTAAAAAGAAACCAAAGGAAGTCACTCGAGTTCCCTAAGACTCAGTTTCCTCCTGTGTAAAATAAAGATACCGACACCCAACCCACCCAAAGTAAAAGCAAGTCCTCAAAACTACTAAAAGAACATTACCCGGTAATAATAAATACTCAAAGGGTACTCATAAATATTATTATACCTTTGCCTTCAATCAATGCATTTCTCTTCCCATATTCATTTGACACCACCATTCTCCCCCAAAATCATCTCAGTCAAAATCTGGATGCGGGACTGGACCACGAAGATAGTAGAAAGATTCAAGTCTATGTGCTATCAACCCAATGGTCCCTCCAGCACTCCAGGAGTAGCAATGCTGAGGGGGGTGGCCCTGTTGGCCCCAGCATCACAGGTGAGCAGGGCTGCCTCTCTAGCTCTGTACTGTCCAGGCCCTATGGCTAAGAACTACAAAAAGTAATCCCAGGCCTGAGCACCACCTGTGAGCATTCCATTCTGCCCCAACAGGGTGTGTCTGGACTCTCTTCTGCCTCATTCAGCTTTCCCAGAAATCCCAACCACCACATCTCAAGCATATTTGAAATCTAGCTCCTTCTCTCAAGGCCCACTGCCACAAAGTCCACTTGGTAAAATCTAACAGCTTCCTTCAATCAACCATCATCGGTTTTCTCAGAGGTAACTGCCTACATGATCGAACAAATGCTCCCGAATACAAAAGACTCCGTGGTTTTACAGGAGTGCTCCTTCCTACATTCACCTAAATCAACAGTTTACAATCTGATCCCAGTCTACCTGTTAGGCTCGTAGTCACCCAGTACACATCTACTGTAAGTTTCAGCATGTCTCAGCATTTTTCTGAAAAAAAATTACAATTACACTCCTTGAATTTAAAAGCGAGCAGTTCTCCACTTCACGTATCTTTCAACACTCAGTTTACCACTCTTGACAGAACCTTGGAGGGTTTTTCCTGAACCACTCAAATATTATTGGTCTCCCTATTTTTATTTTCTTATTAATTTACATGGGCCGGAGTTATAGCCTTGCACACGGCCGACCTGGGTTCGATTCCTCCACTCCTCTGGGAGAACCCGGCAAGCTACCGAGAGTACCTCACCCGCACGGCAAAGCCTGGCAAGCTACCCATGATGTATTCGAAATGCCAAAAACACTAACAAGACTCACAATGGAGAAAATCGCTTGAGAAAATCGATGGAGAAAACCCATTCAAGAAAATCGGTGAACTACAGGAGGACAGTGCTACAGTGCTATTAATTTACATGTGTCTCTCTAAAAGATTTTTTAAGATCGACACACAAAAACCAGTAATATTCCTGTACACAAATAATGAACTAGAAGAAATTTTGAAAGACTATTCCCCTTCAAAATTGTGCCCCAAAACTTCAACTAGGCTTCAACAAAGGACATAACGTGAAAACTGCCAGTTACTGCCAAGAGAACAAGATTAAAAAAAAAAAAAAAAGACCAGAAAATGGAAAGACATTCCCTGCTAATAGATTGGAAGGATCAACATTGTTAAAATGACCATTGTGGGACTGGAGTGATAGCACAGCAAGTAGGGGATTTGCCTTGCACGCAGTCGACCCAGGTTTGAATCCCAGCATCCCATATGGTCCCCTAAGCACCGCCAGGAGTCATTCCTGAGTGCAGAGCCAGGAGTAATCCTTGGGCATCACCAGGTATGACCAAAAAAGCAAAAAAATAAATAAATAAATTCAAATGACCATTCTATTCAAACAATATGCACAGGTTCCATGCAATACCCGTTAAAACTCCAAGGACTTTTTCTGGCATGGAACAAGCTATTCAAATTTGGAGAGAACCATACTGTTCCCCGAGTAGCCAAAGCAACCCTAAGAAAACAAGACAGGAGGCATTACTCTTCCCCAATTTGAACTATATCACAAAGCTATACTGCAGACCAACAGAACATACTTAAAGAGTTCTACATCAATGGCCCTAGATCAATGGCCAGCTTAACTATGACAAAGGAGTCAAATACATGAAGTAGAACAAAGAAAATCTCTTCAACAAATGGTGTTAGGAAAACTGGATAGTCACATGTCAAAGAAAAAAAAAAGCGGGGTAGGGCATTTGCCTTGCATGCAGCCGACTCCGATTCGATCCCCGGCATCCCAAAGCACCGCCAGAAGTGATTCCTGAGTGCGGAGCCAGGAGTAACCCCTGTGCATCGCCGGGTGTGACCCAAAAAGGAAAAGAAAAAAAACCTCAAACCCTTCACAAACGTAAACTCAAAGTGGATTAAAGATACTAGATCAGAATTTATAAATTATACTGAAAAAAAAATATGTCTCAAAAAAAACTGACCACAGAGGAATCTTCAAGATGACCGCAGTGGCAAAGACAACAAAAACAAATGGGTCCACAACAATAGCTTTTGCACAGCGAAAGTAACTCAAGTACTAATAAAAAGGCAAGCTACTAAACAGGAGAAGCCATCTGCACTTAGCACATCAGAGGGTTGATGACCATATCTGTAAAGCACACACAAAACTCGACAACAAAAAATTCAATGATCCCATCAACTACTGGGGCAAGGAGGGTAACAGACACTCCTCCAAAGAAGATATCCAGTCAGTGATAGGCATATATGCACAAGTGTTCGTAGTCACTCATGATGAGGGAAATCAGAATAAGATATCGTCTCACATTTTGTGAAAATAGCAGATATCCAAAATTCTGGAAATAGCCTTGGTCTAGTTGTGTTGAGAAAGGAACCCTCATTCATAGTGGGAATGTTGCCCGCTTGGAAAGCAATACGATGATCTCTTCAAAAACTAGGAACAGAACTACCTACCACACAATCCAGTGATTCTAATTCTTAGCATCTATCCCCAAAACAAAAAGAAATAATTCAAAAGGATATCTGCATATCTATGTTCATTTCAGGGCTTATTACAATAGCCAAGATATGGAAACGACACAAACACAAACTACCGATGACTGGATCAAGAAGTTGCACATATGCACAATGAAATACTATGCAGCTCTATGGAAAAAAATAAAATCACGTGATTTGCAGCAACATGACCAGAACTAAAGGAAGTCATGCTGATATCCTCTACTAGAGGACAGTTAGAAGGAAAGTCATAGATACAGAATGATCTCTCGCATATGTAGGATCTAAAGATACACAGCAAGGTAGCAGCAAAAAGTACAAAAGCAACACAATGGGAGAACTGGTCCACACAATTGAGTTGGAGTGGGAAGGAGTTTGGAAGGAGGGGTATCAGAACTACGTGCGTGAGAAACCATTGTTGACGGCACTGTAAATCACAGAATCTTAATTAAAAAAAAATAAAATTAAGTGCAGAGCCAGAAGTAACCCTCGATCATAGCTGGGTGTGACCAGTGCAAAGACATAAGCAGTAAAGACAAGAGACTTAAACAGGGGCTGGAGCGACAGCACACAGAGTAGGGCATTTGCCTTGCACGCAGCCAACCTGGGTTTGATTCCCAGCATCCCATAAGGTCCCCTAAGCATTGCCAGGAGTAATTCCTGAGTGCATGAGCCAGGAGTAACCCCTGTGCATCACCGGTTATGACCCAAAAAAAAAAAATAGACGAGCATAATTATTAGGTGCTTGTCTGAAGAGGGTGCTTTAGCACACCAGTCAGCTTTTTCAACTTTGAGGCTCAGCTCAGCACTTACTCAGTACCATCAGCTTTCACAGTGGTGAAAGAGGTAACGGGATGAGTCAAACCCGTCCTGAGGAAGTCTGAAGTGACACTTACTAACTCTCATATAATAGTCAGAACATGGGCACTTCTCACTGTCTTATCATAGGCTCATGTCTTTCATTCTTAGTTTATCTAAAGGAACACTTCAATGATTAGTACCGTAATATGATGTGCTATTCCTGGCATATCAGTAGAGTACGAGTCGTCGCATTCATGGCCGCACACTCCAGAATTCTAAAACTTTAAATCGGGTGATACAGCTGGAGTCAAATTTTTAACTGGGTGATGACGTTGGGGTCCAGAGGCATCTCTAAAAGTAAGCCCTTTATTTAGAATCCATAGAAGCTCTACTCAGCCCTTACTTTTGTTGTTTAAGTCTCTTATAATTGAGTCCAGTAAAAAAAAAAAAAAAAGGGTTTAAACAGTTTTGGAAAAAAATGTTGTTTCTGTGCCAGAATGATAGCACAGCGGGCAGGGTGTCTGCCTTGCAGACTGGGGTTCAATCCCAAGTCCCCAGAGCACTGCCAGTGCAGAACCAGGAATAATCACAGGGAGTGAACCACACCCCCCCCAAAAAGTGCTTCAAAAAAAAAAGAAAAAGAAAAAATGAAGAAATGAATTAATCTGGCTTTAAGGACAATTGAAATTTTTAATGAATCAGAAAGCCAGTCACAGTAAGCATGCTTCTCCCATATCTTCTGCATAAAGAACATCAACATCCAAACTTTCAAAATGAAAACTGCTTCTGATCCATGATCAATTTACTGCCTAAAGAGCCTCAAATTGGATCCTCCCAGGATGGGAGAAGCATGCTGAAAGTACACTATAGACCATGATTGCCACTCAATTCCTCTTTTGCAGATGACAGCACCCAAAAGGAGAGATAGAACAAAAGGGAGTGGCCTGCCACAGAGGCAGGGTGGGATGGGGGGATGGGGGTGGGAGGGATACTGGGACTGGTGGTGGTGGACAATGGGCACTGGTGGAGGGATGGGTACCCGATCATTGTATAACTGAAACCCAAGCACAAAAATGTGTAAGTCTACAACTGTACCTCATGGTGTTTCACTAATAAAAATTTAAAAATTTTAAAAAAAGAGCCTCAAATTGGGAGGAAGAGTGGGGGTAGAGCCTCATATTTCGGGGGGGGGGGGGGAGCAAAGTACAGTTAAATGATAACATAAACCA